TGAAGTATCTTTGTCCTTCAACACATCTTCAAGGGCTCTGTCAAGTCACTTCTGCCGTAGCGGTATTTGATTCCTATCTTTAGTATGAATTCCTCTATGGTGCCACCTTTCCTGTGACATACATTGCTCCATGCAGGTGCTAAAATGTTGTTGTTTTTTCCATTTTCTGTCAAATTCAGTGAGGGAATGTTTTAATTAATGATGGTTATAACATGAACTGACTGTTTTGAATTACTATTTTGGCATAATTTGGTATAATTTTTGGCATAATTTGTTGTTAGTTGGATTTATGGCATGAAACTCAAAAAGAGATTTTTTTGGAATTGTAGTCTAAATATTCTCATGTCCTTGCAGCTCAGTGGCTCAATGGTTAGAGCTCTGGACCTAGAGTCAAGAAGATCTGAGTTCAAATTCATTCTTAGATGCTTAATAGCTCTGTGTCCCATGGCTTGTCACTTAACTTCTGTTTTTCTCAGTTTCCTCATCTGCAAGATGGGGATGATGATGATAATAATAATAATAATAATAATATAATAATAATAATGATAATAATACCTATTTCCCAGAGTTGTTCTAAGGATAAAGTGAAATATGTATAAAGTGCTTTACAAACTACTATACAAATGCTATGAGTGGTGCAGTGGATAGAGTGCTGGGCCAGAAGTCAGGAAGACATCTTCCTGAGTTCAGATCTGGCTTCAGAGACTTACTAGCTGTGTGACCCTGGGCAAGTCACTTAACCCTGTTTACCTCAGTTTCCACATCTGTAAAATGAGCTGGAGAAGGAAATGGCAGACCACCTCAGTATATCTGTGAAGAAAACCCCAAATGGAGTAACGAAGAGCTGGATACGACTGAAGATGACTGAACAACAAAGGTTTTAAAAAATCATTTGAGACATTGGTGCTGTTTTTGTCATGTGGTTCATTTTTAGGTAGAATTTTGGGAGTTTTATATTCACTGAAGATTTTCAGACCTTGGATTTTTTAAATTCACCATCTTTAGATTTTTTAGTTCCTCAGCTGCATCGTTTATTTTATCTAATCTAACCCTAGGGATGAAGTTGTTCTTGATATAGCCCTTCACTGGTCGGTGATACATCATTATAGAATTCAAAGCTGTGGATGCCCTTGACAAAAAGCAGCATTAATTCCTCGATCATAACTGCTGAGATCTGTTTCCAACTTTGTCGTGATACTGTATAAAAGTAGTTGTGCCTTCCCTGTTTTATACATATGCTTGGTTTGTTTGCTGTAGTGGTCAGTACTAAATTCCAGTAGGCAGGGTATTGAATTTTCTGATTGGTTGCTATGTGTCTGTCTCTCTATGGTACCAAAACACAAAGGAACACCACTAATTGTACTGTGTTCTGTGTGAAGCCGATCATTGCCATTTCGAAGAGGGCCATATTGTATTCCTATCCCTATATCTATTTCTGAGATTCATAAGAATAGTTTCATTGTTTTGGTCTAGCACAATAGTTGCTATAGTGGAAATAGGCAATAGTGGATGCCTAATAAGTGTCACTTGATTGATTGAGATGATAATCCAACCAGTCATATAGCCAGGGCATGTTTCAAGATATTGGCTCATGTTTCAAGATTCCTATCCATCCTTCACAGGTATTGTAGCACCTTCAAGGTTGTACACAGAGTTCCTACTGTATATCCTTGTGGTCACTCCCTTACTTTGCCACGCTATCTTCCCCATGATATGTATGATGGACTTTGAGGATGTTATTTTATTATTATTTATATTGCTATGATCTTATATTTTTCAATTAGGTTCAGATAGAAGTAATAATAATAATAATAATAATAATAATAATAATAAAAAATAGTATTTGTAGAGTGTTTTAGGGTTTGCACAGTGCTTCACACATACACATATCTTTTTTTTATCCTCAAAACAACTCTGAGAGGTAGGTGCTATTATTATCCCCATTTTACAGATTAGGAAACTTAGGCAGACTTTCCTGTGGTCACACAGCTAATAAGTATCTGAGACAGGATTTGAACTAGAATCTTCCTGATTCCAAGTCCATCACTCTATCCATTGCATCAGCTATTTGCCAAACTATGCTAGAGAAAATTGCTATTATGCTATTATCTTTTATGTAATATTCAAGGGACTATGATACAAGTGAACAAAATGACTACTTTTTGTATTTGAATAAAATTAAATGCATCCTCTGTAAGTTTATGGAAATCATCCTTAGTACAATGCTAGTGGCAGAGGGGATGACAGGGATGATATTCAACTCATCTTGTTCCCACATGATATTGATCTCCTTTGCTAGGTCTCTATATTTTGAAAGCTTTTCATCCCATCTAGCATGGAAATTATGCATATACAGCATATGGTAGTATCTGTTAAAACACTCTTAAGTTTTTTATAGATTGGTGTTGTCTGAGAAGTTCTGGGAAGCAGTTCAGTCTGTGATAATGATCTGGTTCTAATATAGCTTATTCATTAAGTTCTCTAGGATATTTTGAAATTTGCTGATGTGTGATTCTACCTACCACTCCATTTCTTACTAGGTACTTGCTAGGTACTAAATTGTTATGGCTTATAGTAATATGTTGTGTGGGTTTTCTTTCTTTCTTTCCTTTTAATCATTTCTTTGCCTATTTTATAAATTGATCACTAAGTCCAGACTCCTTAAGGATAACCTTTATTTCTGGCAGCAGTGACCTGGTCTTCAATTCCCATCATAAATCTCTCCATTCCACAAATAAACGCACATGGTTCGGCCATTTGTTCAATGCTCCTTTGCTGACATATTGTTGCCTAAGTTCATGTGGATACTGCCCATGGAGGACTTTTTGATTCTCCTCCTCAATCTTAGTTGTTTCATAGGCTCTAGCCAGAGGGAAACCACTCTTGGTTGCCCTCAATAATTTCAATGGCACATATCCTTTAGTTCAATGAAGTGATATCATCTGATAGTTCCAAAAATGTTTCTGTATGCTTTAAAATTTTATCATGCATTCTAAAAGTTCCAATCACTTCTCACTCTTGTTTTTTCTTTCTTTCTTTCTTTCTTTCTTTCTTTCTTTCTTTCTTTCTTTCTTTCTTTCTTTCTTTCTTTCTTTTTTTGGTGAAGAAGTGTTAATCTTTCTATAGCAGCCTTAAGGTGATGGACTGTTTGTTTACTTAGTATTGTATTGGTTATTGTTAGAGTACTTTCCATATCTGTTCTACCCATTTTACAATTCTGAAGTTGAACAATAAGACTGAAATTGCATAGCTGTTGTTATTACAAATGTATTTTTCCCATTCAGAGTTGATTTTAAGTTGCCAGTAAGATTCTTATCTTGTTTAGCAACAGCCTTCTTCATCTGTCTTGCCCTCAGGACAGAGGTGTCCTTCATTAATTGGTTTAATATGACTCCTGGATTCAGTCCAAAAGCCTTCAGTCTTCATTATTCTTTGGTATACATTAAAAATTTTATATTCATCAGGTCCAAATGACATTTTGCATTCATTAGAGAAAGATTTCATGAGAACAAGAAGATGTTTAATTTGTTTTCAGTGCAACATAAAGCTTGATGTTATCTTTGTGCATCAAATAATTAATATGTTTAGTTTGATTCTTTAATTGAGTTCTATGTAGGGTCAATAACAAAGGGTTTAGAACTAGGTGGAACCATAATGGATTTAAAATGTCTCTCAGAAATGTGGAATTTTCTGTATATGGTTCTTCACATCGTGGTGCTGGTGACATTTTCCCACATGGACATGAAATACTCTAATATTCTCATTATACTTGGTCTTTTTTATATATTTGCAATACCCAAATAAGCTATGGGTATAGGACTGAATCAAAGCCTTCACAATAATTAAGAAAGGCGGTATGAATGTCAGGGTGATTTTGGCAATCTTGTTCGAAAATCACTGAATTGATAAGTTGCTCTTTCCACTCCTGGGACATCTTAGCACATCTTTTTTGCTTCTCAAGCAATGTCTTATTTTCTTATGAATGTTTATAGGGGTTTTTTGTGATAAAAATGATGAATATTTTGTATAAAGTGAATAGTTATATAATTGAACCCTATTTGGATGGGTCACTAGGGTTCTCATATTTTAACAATAAACATATAATGCCTTATGTTAAGGCAGATGTTTATTAAAATCCTGTCACTTAACATTTTTTTGCCTAATCATTCATTGAGATTAAGATTAAATCATAATGTTTTATCATTTCATCTCTCCCTTTCCTTCACTGTGGGCAAAGACAGGAGAATCAAGGATGCACATACAGGAGGTGACGTTGGTGAGGAGAAGATTCATTAAGGAAGTTATAAATAATAAGGGCAAGGGCACCCTTTTGTCATTTATTTATTACTTAAAATTATTAAAGAAGGATTTTCAGGATTATTTTTTAATCTTAGGAAACTATCCTGATAAACTTTAAAGAGCTAAAACAATGAGGCTGTTCTCATTATATATCTGTGTTGGCACAGAATATTTAATTCAAAAAGATTAATGTCAAATGATGATTAAAATAAAATTACTCAGTGACAGAACTGTAATAAAATATACCTATGCCAATACATAACTGACCTTTCATTTCACCTCATGAGATGCAGCATGATGCAATTGAAGATCAGTGAACTTGGGGTCAAAAGCCTTAGGGCACCCTTAGCAAGTAATGTAGTCTTCTGAACCACATTTTCTCCATCGATAAAATCAAAATATTTTTTGTATTGCCTACTTCACAGAACTGTTGTGGGAAATATGCCTGATAAACTTTAAAGAGCTAAAACAATGAGGCTGTTCTCATTATATATCTGTGTTGGCAAAAGAAAAGTTTACCCTGACATCTGGAAAGTACTTGGCTCTTTAGTAGAAAGAAAATTTTGTCAGATTAAAATGTAATATGAAAATATGGAAACTGCAAACTGTCCCGGAATATTTAAATGGTTTCATTTGTTTTTAATCAATTGAGTTCTGTGGTCTTCCTCCCTTTCTAATGTGATTCCTTTCTCTTCTCCTAGGCTAACAGATCTCGAGACCTAGGGGCAACTGTCTACTGTGTTGGGGTGAAAGATTTCAATGAAACCCAGGTAGGACCAGTGGTTTTCACAGACTATGACCGGTAGGAAAAGGCTATATTAAGGGCTCCCACAGGCAGCTGCCTCCACTAAAACCCTGCTCCTATGTTTCATCACAGCACGGAATGGCCTTGGATTCTCGAAAGCCATGTCAGTGGAGCATGAGCCCTGACAGGTCCTACCAAGCTGGAAAATCTTTGAGTATGGGCTCAGCAACAGACTGTGTGTCTGTCATCCAAGGATCAGCCTAGCTAAGTGCTGAAGGCTCATCACCACATGGCTGGCTGCTAGGTGATGGATATTTCTGGCCACAGCAACCCTTTAAAGTATCCACTAAGGTGTGGAAGTGTTGAGGTCTATATCAGTGAAGGGAGCACCCACATCAGCAAAACTATATTACTAGAATATAAGCAGTTAAATAAAATGAAAATATTGTGGAGAAAGAAAAGTAGAAACAACCAATATGAAGCCTGGCATTAGATGGAATATGCTTCTTTTGATTTGGCAACTTTCAGATACATTAAGGAAGAATTTGTTTTGTGTGTGTGTGTGTGTCTTATGGTTCCTAAATCATGAATCCCTATGATTATTGTATTAAGTATAAATCATGCACATAGAATCATAAAAATCATAGCTCTAGTGCTGGAAGGGACCTCAGAGGCCATTGGATACAATTCTCTCATTTTACAGATGAAGAAACTGAGGCCCAAAGAGATTAGTGTCTAGGCAAAAGAGCTATCAAAAGGCCTTCTCATCCTTAGGTTTATTTAAAATATAACTTGTGGGGAGTAATTAGTCTGGAATGGTTGAAAGAAGGGCTAGGGTGTCCATCAGATGCAGGCCTAGCACTTCTGGGTAGAGGGCAGCCACTTAGAGAGAGCCTTATACTTGAGCTGAAGACTTTAGCCTCCCCCTGATAACCTGCCAGTTATGATCACATAAGGGAAGCAGAAAATTCTCAAGCCTAGCTCATATTAAAGCTGGAGGAGGTGAGAGGGATGCTCTATCAGTAGGAACAGTCCAATTCATTGACTAGCTCAGGTTCTACTGTATGTGAAGTACTTGAAAAGAAACAAGGATAGTTAAGACTGGATGGGGTGGGGTGGGGCTACAGCATATCACATCTTTGGAGGCCACTAGAATTGTTGCTTTGGAATTCCCACAGGTTCAGAGAACGCATCTGAATTATTTCAGACAATTTAATGAAAGCCTGACTCACAAGGGAAGATATGGCACATAGGGGTGGGATGGACCAACCAGTCCAGGAGGCTAATAAGGACGATGTGACCAGGGAAGTAGGGCACAAATATGGATGGATAGTAATCAGAGTCTAGAGAAGTTATCAAAATCAAAAGTGTATAAATATTGGAAGTCAGAGTGGTATAGCAAAAAGTATATTAGATTTAGTCTCAAAGAACACAGAATCCTATTTAGGCTCTGCCAACTTGTTAGGGATTCCATCTTGGGCAAGCCATTTGGCCCTCTTCGTCTTCAGTAAAATGAGAGGACTAGACGAAACCTGCAAGTTCTCTTCCAGCTTTACCCTCCTCTTAGCTTACAATCAGAAGGTCCAGATAGATAGGATGTCCAAAGACCAGGCAAAGAATAACCAGAAAATATACAGCAATTACATGAGCTGCTAGATGGGTCATGAAATAATTGGGGAAATAGCCAGCAATCTAGACAGCCATAAGAGTTGGGAAAAGGCAGAGGCATTTCCCTCACATCAGGTTCACTAGTGAGCAGAATAGAATCCCAATTGTCATCCTGGATTTAGAGCCTGAGGGGACCTCCAAGAACACCTAAGAGCTCTTAACCTTTATGGTGTCATAGACTGTGTTGGCATCTGGGGAAAGCTATGGACGGAGGCTTTCTCAGAATAATGTTCATTGCCTACCTTTACAATTGAAGGAAATGCTAACTTTCAGTTACAGGTTTAATGAAAATAAAGATGTATTTTCCCCCAAGTTCATGCACCCCAGATTAAGAACTCTAGTCCACTTCTCTGCCTGTACTGATGAGGAACTGATTCATGTGGCTTAGATGAGGACTTGCCAAGGAGCAAACTAAATGACAAAACCTGGCCCAGAGCCCAGGTGTCCTGACTCCAAGTATAAAACTCTTTCTACAATAACATTCAGATAGTAGTAACATACTTTTCTTTTGTAGTGGAGAGATCGCAATAAGGTAACTACAAATTGGCCCTTTTATTTAGGTGGCCAGTTTCTGTCACGGAGGACTCCAGCTCCTAAAAAGAGCTTGCACTGGGGAATACTTTAAGAATGGGGGCAACAGAGAGAGAGGAAAGGGAGAGAGAGATAGAGAGAAAAAGAGGAGGAGGGGGAGAAGGAGAAAGAGGAGAAGGAGAAGAAGGAAAAGGAGAAGGAGAAGAGATAAGAAAAAAGAGAGAAAGAAAGTAATAGAGATAGAGAAGAGAGAAAGAGAGCTTTTTAAAGCACTTTTAGACATTTTATGATTTTTAAGCACTTTTAAGTATTTTATGACATGCCAAGCACCATGCTAAACACTGAGGATATGAATACAAGAAAGACAGCCCCTGCCCTTAAGAGCCTACGATCTAATAACTAGACAAATTACATCTCATAAACAGGGACACTTTGGTCAGGTTTTGAAATCCATATGAAATTGAATTCTCCTGTTTTTGTGCATTCTCCCAAAGGGCTGTTTGAAACCTTGCATTTGGCACTCTAGCCTAACTTTCAGTTGATTCCATCCACTCAATGTATTTCGGTGCTAACAAAGGGAACGGTAGGTTGGTATTAACACCCGCTCTTAACTCTGCTACTTAGAAGAAGCATAAGAGCAGGGATGGAGATGTACAAAGATTAGAAATGAACTGTAAGAGGCAACCTAAAACAGAACACTCACTGAAAAAAGGCTTTACTATAAATGTTCAGGGTCCTGTTATATGATTGTCCATGATAAGGTCAGGAGGCTTGAATAATAGAAATTTCAGGGTCACTCAGATTAGTCTCTTTCTTTCTTTAACCCAATACTCTGCCAGACAGAACCATTTGAGCTATCCAAGTCAGTTCCTATAATGACTTAGCTCTCTCTAGGTGGAAGGAGAGGGCCCCAATCATCTATATCCTTAAAAGTCAAAACCTACATTTATTTTAAAAAATCTGCTCTGAAAGGGAATTTGAATCTGGTTGAATCAAAGTTGCCAACGGGAATTTGGATGAATGGAAGAAAAATGAGCCAATGGCCTATTCCCAACTTCATAAATACATCAAGTCAGACCAAGTTTTGCTTTAAACAGGCCATTTTACTTCTACTCCCAAGGAGAAAAGTATTAAAACAAGTGTCAAAATTGGAGCAGAACCCTTCTGACTTTGCCTCGCCCTGCCTGGTAAGCTCATTATCACTGATGGCTTTGTGGTTAGTTCCCAGAGGGCCACTGAAGGCCCCAGGTTCCTCCTCACCCTGAAAGGGGTCCGAGTCTCTTGAATCACATTGCTTCTCCCAGAAAGTTTCATCCAAACCTGACACATATGTATTTGTATATTCTTAGCTGGCTCGAATCGCTGACAGCAAGGACCATGTGTTTCCTGTAAATGATGGCTTTCAAGCTCTGCAAGGGATAATAGACTCAGTGAGTATGATGCTTCCCCTTTAGACTGGAGAACTGGGGCTGAGGGCAGGTAGGTTGGTGGTTGACCCTCTAAGTATCTTGAGTTTATATCATTAGTCTAGATAAAAAAAATTATAAAAGAAAGGTACATTTCTTGATAGACTAAGAATGAAAGGGTATAAGAGTTTAGTCTTCTTTTCCTGCCGTTTCCTTGACATCTGTGTCCTCCTTTCCTTTTCCCTTCCCCCACACCCTTACCTTTTCTTCTCCTATAGCAATTTTGCCCTACCACCCAAAAAAAATAAAGAATGGGAAGAATAATGTTTCTAGCAGTTGTCCAGATGCAGGACTTGCTCTGTGACTCTTGCAAAGTGATGGTTTTGATTCTTAGTTTCCATTTGGCTGATCTCAGCCTTTCTAGCAGAAAATAGTTATGGTTATTGCTATTCAGTCGTTTCAGTCATGTCCAACCCTCCATGACCCCATTTGAGGTTTACGTGGCAAAGATACTGGAGTGGTTTATCATTTTTTTTTCTCCAGTTCATTTTGCAGATGAGGAAACTGAGGCAAGCAGGGTTAAGTGACTTACTCAGGGTCACACAGCTAGTGTCTGAGGCTAGATTTGAACTCACAAAAATGAGTCTTCCTGACTCTAGGCCCAGCACTCTATCCACTGTGCTACCTTGCTGTGGCTATCTGGTCATAATAACTACCATTTCTGGGGTTCTCTAGGGTTCACAAAGTGCCTTTCTCACAACAAGCTTGAAAGGAAAGTAGTACAGTCATCACTGGCCTCATTTTAAAGAGAAGGAAGCTGGGGCTCAGGTGTTAAGTAATCTGCCCAGGGTCACACAGCTAGTTAACAAAGTTAGGACTGGGGAACAGCTAGGTGGCACAGTAGATAGAGCACTGGCCCTGGATTCAGGAGGATCTGAGTTCAAATACAGCCTCAGACACATAACACTCACTAGCTGTGTGACTCTGGGCAAGTCACTAAACCCCAATTGCTTCACCAAAAAAACCCCAAACAAACAAACAAACAAAAAACCCCAACAAAGTTAGGACTTAACCTAAGACTCCATAACACCAGGGCTCCCCACTCCATGACTACAATGCACTATCTCTCTCTCACCCGTGCACTGCTGTATTGGAGTTCCCATCAGCCATTTAGAACTTGCAGCTAAGCTTCCATTTCAGTCAGATGGATGAAGCTTTGGTCTTGTTCATCTGAGCCTGTTAGCCGTGTAATTCTGGTCCTGAGAAGGGTATCACACTCAAAAGGGAGGAATTCAAGTTTAGAATTGAGGGAAGGTTCCATGCTTACAATCCTTCCCCTACATCCTTTGTTTACTGAGAGGCAAAATTGTCTGGCTTGCATAAGCTCACTTTCCTTCGGGTTTTTATTTTATTTTATTTATACTGCATGGCTAATGGGACAATGTATGGCTATGACCTACCTTTCAACATTCTGTAAACATCGAGCCAGCACCCCTGGTTTTGTTGCAGTATCAGCTGGTGCCAGTTTGAAAGTTGGCAACCTAGAATCCTCCTAGCAACTGTCTAATGAAATACAGAAGAGCCCTCGCCTCTGCCTCCAGGTTTTGTGACAGAACCACGGCCAGTTTTTTTTCCCCTTTTTGGAGACTTCTTAGGCTCTGGGATTCTTGACTGAGTAAACACAGTTCTTCCACATGATAGCCTTTTAAGCAGTTAAAGGCAGCTATCAGTTCTCCATTCCCTCCACCCCACCCCCAAAACTCCCCCCAAGGCTTCTCCAGGCCATACCAAGTTTCTTCATTGGCACATTTTAAGTCTCCTCCTCACCATCCTAATTCCCTTTTTCCAGATAAATTCCGTATCAGTGTCCAACCCAAAACGTGGCTTGATAAAACCAGATGCAACAGAACAATCACCTACCTTGGTCTTGACCTAGACTCCTAAGAGTCTAGTATGCTGTAAAGTTAACATTGGATTTTTGTTTGGTGTTTGCTTTTTTTTTTTTTTTTTTGGCAGGGTGGTGCAGTGGATAAAATGCTAGACTTGGAGTGAAAAAGGCAAGGTTCAAATCTTGCCTCCAACATTATATGACCAAGAGCAAGTTACTTAACTTCTCTCAATTATCTCATTTATAAAATGAGCTAATGATATCTCTAGGACTCACATGAGGCTCAAATTAGTGTGCGCAACAGTACTTGCAGGACCTTAAGGTACTATTTGAATATCAGTTTTTAACTATTGCTATAGGTGACCACCAAGTCACACATTGGGTTCAAATTGTGGTCACAGTTCACTTACTTCCACAGGACTTTTTTTTAACGTGTACTGACATTCACAAAATAAGAGAGAAGTAAACCAATTTTCAAAAAGGGGAAACTAAGGCATAGAACAAATTGGTTATCCTGAGGTCATCTGGGAGCAAAAGCAGACATTGGTATCTAGGGTGTTTTTCACTAATGGGCCTCAGAAAAGCTGATGCTCCATTCTCAATTGATGATCTGGGTTGATTATGGGAAAGGAAAAAGTTTAGTTCTGCTGAGGACCCCCTCATTACAGAACCCTTTCTGTTCTCTATCATCATCATCATTATCATCTGGCATTTATATAGCATCTGTTATGTGCCAGGATGTGCTGAGTACTTTACAAACATCCTATTTGATCCTCACAACAACCCTGTGAGGAAGGCAGTATTATCCCCATTTTACAGATGAGGAAACTGAGATAGAGGTTAAGTGACCTGCCCAGGGTCACAGAGCAAGCCTCATGTGTCTGCCTCCAAGGCCTAGTAAATAATGGCAAACTTTATTATAAGCATAACCCTTTTAAAGAGACACCAGGCCCAAGTGAGTGGTGTCCCTTCCTATTATGACCCCAAGGGCTGCAGTGGGTTCCTCTGAATACATCGCTGGGGTGATGCTTGGAAAGAACCATTTGGCGAGGCTGTTTTCAACCCAGTAGTGAGTTGAGGTGGGTGTTAATCAGGGTTCACTGTTTAATGAAGCCCCGCAGGGTCATATTTACTTGGGCCAATTCACCTTTCACCTAAGCCAATACTCTGACAAATTGGTTAATCAGAACCCACTATTTCCACTGCAAAAATACTCTACCCAGGGGTGGGGAACCTGAGGCCCTAATTAAGGCCCTTTGATTGAATCCAAACTTCACAGAACAAATCCCCTTGACAAAAGGATTTGTTCTGTAAAACTTGGATTCAGTCAAAAGGCCTTACCCAAAGACTTAGAAGGCTGCAGATTCCCTACCCCTGCTCTACTCTCAGGACCTCAACCTCTACCACAGCCAGGTGCTCTGGTTAACTAACTCAATTTCTGGTGGACTCGTTCATTACATATAGCTCAGAATTCTTTCAGTGGCACAGCTAGGCATTTCTTAAGCAGTATCTATTCCCTATTAGATGGCAATGTAGCAAAAGTGGGCCTGCTCTACAAGTTGAAAGAGCAGGAAAAGCTATTTTTTTTTATAACTGGTATGAAACTTCAGGTATAGAAACCCATCAACATTTTCACTTGGGGGATGAAACCTGACTGATCAGCAGCTTGGCTGACAAATTTTACTCTGATACCTACTGAGCTTGATTTAGTGTTAAATCTTATATCTCAACTTACAAGCAATGTGACCACAAGCAAGTCATTTAAACTGAGTTTCAATTTAGATGAGGAAAATGCTTCATGGATCTAAAAGCACTTTAGAATTTTGAATTATTTATTATTTATCTAGACCCACAGTTTCCTCTCACAGGGTAGAAACCTCTCCCAGAGAGGAGCAGACCCCTAGAGCCACTGCCTGGTCCAAGTGGTGACCTATCCTGGATTTGTAATGTGGGCGTGTTGCTTGTAACCAATAGAGTGGAATTACCGTAGGTTGTGGCATAGTGCACAGAGCAGTAGGTCTGGAATCAGGAAGCTCCAAGTTCAAATCCAGCCTCAGATACTTATTAGCTGTGTGACCCTGGGCAAGTCACTTAACCCCTGTTTGCCTCAATTTCCTTATCTGTAAAATGAGCTGCAGAAGGAAATGGCAAACCACTCCAGTATCATTGCCAAGAAAACCCCCAATAGGGTCAATAATAACAATAAAACTCAAGATCACATGGGCTCCTGTTGGATAGGTCTGGCCAGCGGCAGGGACTGAATGATGGGGCATGGGATACATGCCTGGTTTGAGTGGAGCAATCTATGACAGTATTATCTCCTTTCTTGAGGGCCCAGAAGCAAGAAATGGATCCTTCAACAATTTCTTCTGTGATCAGAGCAGATAACATAAGATAAATGAGCAGGAGTCAAAGGCAGCAGATTTATTAAATTCTTGGAAAATCATCAGCAATGAGGAAAGATTAGGACCCGATGGGCCAAATAAGAAAATGTGGCAAAGGTTGAGAGCTTCAAGAAAATGAGTGTTTTAAAAGGCTTGGGCTCATGTAAAGAGACATGTTTCTAATTGACTCCTTCAGTGTGACCACAGCAGTTACACGGCACAGTAGAGAGGGTCAAGAAATCCCAAGTTCCCATTCTGCTTCAGGTTTTTCTTAGTTGTGTGACACTGGGCAGGTCACTTACCATCTCTCTGCTTCATTTTCCACATTTGTAAAAGGGGGATAATAATAGCACCCACCTCACAGAGTTGTGGTGGTCAGATGAGTCAACACATGTAAAGCGCTTTATAAAAACTTAATAAGTCATATAAATGCCAACATTATTAGTTATTATCATGCCAGAGTCATTTTGGGCTCTTGGGTTTGGTACTGACCCTTCTTCTTCTCTGACTCCCCAGTTCTGTTGAATCACCTTCAGCTGTTCCTATCTCCCACCTGTCGCTGGCATTTCACACATTTGAAACAGCTGTTTGGCATTAGATATATATTATCTGTGAGGTTCCTGTCCTAAGGTTTTTTAAGTAAATAATACTAGTGCCAAGGTATCTATGGAATCAAAAGCTTGAGTCATTTTGGGGAAGGGTTTGCTATTCACTTATAAAAAAGACAGTGCCACGGCAAAGAAAAGAGAGAG